TCCCCCTTGAAACACTCCCACTTTTCCCTGGCATTTCATTTGTATTCGAAGCATTGTGTCCTGTTGAACATTCTTAATTAGGTTAAATCTACTGTGCGACGCTCTGCTGTGTTTTCCCCGGGTTCCTTGGGTTGGGCCTCAGGATTTTGGGTCCGGGATGGGGGGCACACATATACATGGGACAGGAGGAGTCCGTAATGAAGTCAGTCCCCTTTTTTTGAGAGGGGGCTCTGCAGGGGCAGCCGAACGCGTGTTCGCCATTTGACATAATTTAGTACCCCGCCGGCCGCCAAAGACACAAAACTCATATTTGCAATTTAAATCCTGGAAATGAAACAATTACAAACTTTATCGGTTGCCATCAAGGACTCATGCTCCTTTTTGTATCACCAAGAACCCGGCCATGTGTGGCCCCGCAACTAATGGGTGGACTTATATCGCAGCAGGAACACAAGGATTACAGTAGACTATTTCTATTCCAAATGAAGCGTGAATGAAATCTTTAAATTAACAAAGAAAAGGGTTTCCTTCTCAAAATATTAAAAATAATATGAGTAGTTTTGCTTTCGCGTTGATAAATATTTAAAATAGTAAACAAAACTTGACTTTTATATATGATAAACTTCGCATAACTATAAATCTTTAGTACAAACTTCATTTCACTTTTATTCCGCTTCTTTTTATTTGAGGAACTATATATTTTTCTAACTGCATTCCAGAGGCTCTCGGAGCTTCTCAGAAAAGCCTGCTGTCAGTCTGCTGCCAGCTCGAGCGCTTATTATAAATGAACTCAAATTTAATTAAGAGTTTCCCATATTTTGTTTCAGTTTGTCCGGATCCGGGCACTCGTCTCATCCTTGAGGCCTCGCCATCATTATCATGGAAGTAATCATCTTCAAGATGCTTTCGCTGTGTCTCCATTTCAGGCTTCATCACGAACAATATTAACGTCGTTGTGCGGTAGGACGGCCACTCCAGGTTGGGTGCCCCCCCAAAAAAATGTTGTTAACTAAACTTTTTCGCAAAATAACACAGGATAGGAGAGCACAAAACCGTAACCGTAAACGTGGCCAGGGAAAAAACAAACTTGAAATTCGCTTCATTCGTGTTGCCACAAAAAAGAGGCATTCGCTCGCTTTCTCTCTCTCTCTGCCAAAAGAAAAATTGGGTGAAAATCCGGCTTGTGTGTATGGGTATGTCTGCGAGTGTCCTTTACCCTGTGTGTCAGTGTCCTCTCAGCCTGCCGGCTGCTTTCCCTTTTATTAAATTGAATTTCGCCCTCGGACACGGGACACGGACCTAGAATGGGCCCAAGAATTCAAAATGAGACCGAGGCGATATGGTTATGATGCCACTTGTCTCGCAAATACAATTTTCTTATTTCTCGCATTTGGCGTTCATATTTCAGCGCGTGCCCCTTGACAATTTCGTAGCTTTTAAATTTGCTTTGACATATATATATATTGAAAGCAACCAGAACACGTCCCTCCTCCTTTCGTTAAGGGTTCGGTCCGGGAAATCGAATTAAAAACTCATCTTTGCTCAATTTGTGTCAGCTCCTTGCCATGTCCCTCGACATCCACAATTTTCGCACATCTAGTATCCAGTCGCTTTCGGAGATGATTTGGGCTCGTGTCCTGCCCAAATGTCATCCATCCATCCTTGCAGGGTGCGCATGTGTGTGTTTGCCTTTTTTTTATTGTTTTACTAGCAGAAAATCTGTTTTATTCGTACGCTTTTATTGTTGCTACGAGTAATTTAATGTGTATTGCATTTAAGCTAATATTTGAGCTGTTGCTCAGAGGTTTTAATGCCGCTTTTACGATCCTTTTTACGGCCTTTTTATTTGCTTGCCCCTGGACCCTGGCCTGACCCAGTGTCAGTTGTCGGTCAGTGAGTGGCCTAATGCCGTCGTGTTGCCAACTTTACTCAACTAATTTCAAGCAATTACAGCCAAAGCAGAGAATGCCAGGACGAGCCCCCTATTTTATTAATTATAATTTCCCTCTGCCAATTGCTCCATTTATGAGAACCAACACCGATATCAATCATCGTAAAAGGCCAGAGCCAAGAACCCTTTAAGGACACATTAGACACACTTGGCCGGATGCTTTATGCGACTCTGTGTGTGTGTCCCTTTTAAGGTTATATGTGAAATGTGCGAATTCTTCATTGGCTTTCTTAATCCCAACTTTGGCTGTGGGCGGCGGGTCACTTCAAAGGCTGGCCACAGCTGGAATGCAAACAAAAGATAATCTTTGCCTCGATTTATTTACCTTTCGCTGACCAAACCAATTTGCGATTTTAATCAAAGCCGAGTCGGAGCAGCCGGATGAGCAGGAGATGCTGCCATCAAAGCGAAATAGTTGAGCTGCTGTCACTGGCGAGAGCAAAGGACGAAGGACGAAGGTTGAGGCCAGCCAGCTAATGCCCAGTGTCCAACCTAATTTGACGCTGACGAGTTAGAGAAGATACTCGGACGGAATGTCTGCCTGTCTGTTTGTCTGCTCCTCCAAATGTCTAACCAGGCAACTGACTGACTGACTGACTGACTGACTGACGGACATGTCGGCCGCCGGTCTGTGCATAATGCTTATTACCACAATCATTTGCAGCTCTTGGCCATGGCCATGGCCCTGGCCCATAGACTCCCAACTGCGATCCTGTTTCTGCTTTTGCTCCTATTCCCTACTCTCCCCTTCATTCAAAGTGGATTGCAATATGCAATCTCCAGGCAAACGCTCTCGACTCCCGCACATTAGTGAAAGTGTTGTGAGTAGTAAGGGTAATAAACAACGGAACTCAACTGGCTCTAAGCTTTTCACTATCTATGCCATTTCACAGCCTCTACACTGAGAGAGAGACTACTGAAGTTAAGCATTAAGAAAACAAGAACTGATTTAAAAAGCCTAAGAATATATGTTTTATCCAAATAGTATTTCAAATAGTATTCAATTGTTACTTTAATTGTTCCTTAGTGGCTACCATAATTTATCCCAGTGCAATCCTTAGTTACATTCAACAGTTTCCACTATTTAATGGCGATCTCCGGGAAGCCTTTGTTCCCTCCAACTGGTTAACACTCAGATGCGACGGCATGTGCGTTAGTGCGGTGTCATGTTGGCTATTATGAATTGTGCAATTGTCGTCAACGCCAACGCGTTGCCCTCCACGATTTTTCCTGCTTCTCTACCCTTTGACGTGCTCCATCTCCAGTTGAGCGGATAGACACAGACAGTCAGTCAGTCAGTCAGTCACTTCCACTCTAAAACCCACCCATTCTCCTCCCGATTCTTGCACTACTCGTGTTAGTCACTTCTAGTGCTTGGTTTCATTCCGATTGCCTGCTCATCATCCACCAGCTCTTTGTTTGCTCCCAACAGCGAGGATGGAGGCGCACATGGCGTATACTGAATGCCTTCGCTTTGCCTGCATTTGCCGCCATTTTTCAAGCCAACATCAGTACGTAGGAGAAGCACTAGCAAGCATTGTTTTAGTTATTGTTGCTGCTCGGCACTCCTGGTAAATGACTCTTCAACGTTTGTCGTATTTGTCTGGCAGCAGCAGCAGCAGCATCACTTTGAAGTGCCAAATATTTTTCCATTTGTATACTGGCTGCTTTTGTCATTTGTTCCCATGACGAATGGAGGGCCGAGAGCTGCCACTGTTTGGTGTACAACACTCTGTGATTGGCCCCTCCAAAAAGGTGGAATTTATGATATCGGCACTACTCTCGCTTTTAATTAGCCCACCAAGTGCTGCAATCAGCCAGGTCGACGGTTAATCAAGCGAGCAGCTATTTAATTAAGTTGGGCTTCATTACGTTCTTTGGGCCGTAAAATCTTTTACCGGCACTGCACAGGGTTTCACATCGCATCGAAAGGCAGGAAATGAGGGTGAGTGGGTTGCATCGCTTTAACATTTATGCGATTTTCCGGGGCGCATCAAAGTCATCAGATGAAACCAACAGCCATGAGGCTCTACAGATATATATACATATATATAGATTTATATGTACATATATTCGGAATCAACGCTTCGGGTGTGAGGCTGTCAGCTAGTTTGCATTCATCAGAGGCAGCGGAAATGGCAGCAGCAATTGACTGACACCATCCTCCTTCAGTATCATCAACACTTCCCCCATCATCATCATCATCATCATGATCTCAAAGATTTACATGACAGCTGTTGCAGTTGCAGTTGCGATTCGTTCGCTATTCATTTGCTGGCAGCTCCTGTGATTGCTTGTATTAGTGATTGTCAGTTGGCTAAAAGGAGTGGCTGTCTCTCCATTTGATTGCCATGGCATCACGTAAATCTCTTATGCTTATGAATATGCGAATATACATTGCGAATTGCGAATTGTGAATAAAATGCCATCCATGTTTGTCGCTGCGTATTGATTGAAGTATGAGTCCTTCCATTATGCGAAAGCAACTATCATTGGGAGCTCTTGGAAAGAGCTCTGAGCGTTTTATGGAGGGATTGTTGAAAAGCAATTTATTGATTTCTCGTGCTGCGCAAATGATTGGCGCTCAAGGCAATCTCTCCTGCCCCCAAAAATCACCAAACAATCCATGAGCCATTGTGTATGCTGTCGACAGGGGCTTGATTATTTAGGCTATTAACACGCAAAGGTCGCCGAATAATATTGATTATGACCGCTGGCCAGACGGCGGCCCAAGTCCAAGTCCAAGTCCCAGAAACGATAACAAATAACAATAACCAACAATCGGCGCAAAGCGGCCGTGTTTAATTTGGGGCCGGCTTTCGTCTGGGCCGAAAACTTTTGGACTGGGTTTGTATTTCCAAAATGTTTTTGGCTAACACACCGTCTGGCCGTCTGCCAGCCACTCAGCCGTGAAAAACGTTTAAGGACGAGTTAAAGTCAACTTAAATTATGGCCGAATGAATGCAATTAATTCGATCGCATGTTTTAATAGTCAGCTTTTAATAAAGCTGGCCAGGATGCAAGTTTGGTTCAAATATCCTTTAATAGCTTTGAGGGGAGATAATCGAGTAGTTGTATATTTTAAATACAAGTGTTTGGCAAATTTAGAGTTTAATACAATTTTAAGATCATTTAGTTCTTTGGAATTTAAACTGATTTAGGTGCAAAAGCTCAAAAAATAATATTGATTACCAAGGGTCCTTTACTGTCCATCGAAAACTTCTTATCCCTAAAGAACAATAATAATTGACATAAGACACATAAAATATCTGAATTATACTCACTATTCTTGGCTCTACTTAACATAGAGCAGAGTGGTATGAACATCTCTTAAAAAACCTATCAAGTTTCTTCAAGTGGAAAATTTATTTCGATACATTGAATCTTTGATTCTTCGCCTTTTTGATGGCTTAGCGTATGTCCTGTGATATGATTGGGAATTAAATTCATCATTAAACGATTTAAAATGCTTCTTCAATAAATACCATTCGTCTTTGGGCATAAAATAGTTGCACACGTATGCGTTTATAATGTGCAGGATACCAGCTATAAGGCCGAGGCAGCTGGATACGAAGAACATGTAGCGGAACTTGTTGCCGCAATGCGCCGCCGAGGCCACCAGCAGGGTCAGGGCAGTCCCAATGCACACCAAGCCGCTAACCAAATTGAACACCATTGCCTGAGGACAACACCCATTGGGATAATATCAGCACAGGACTCTGTAAATACGCACAATTGGATCCATGCCCACAGTGACGCAGAACAGCCGAAAGAGTCCGAGAACTACACTCTGAAGGGTGATGACCGGCAGAAAGAATAGGTACAACCACACCGATATCCCATACTCCTCGCCCATGACACAGTGTGTGAACAGAATTCGGATGAGGAAATACAGGGCCACCGATTCCAAAGCCTATTTCGGAGAATAAGAAATAAGTTATTACCTCTCGAGATCACAAAGGTCCGAGTATAAATTACAGCAGTGAAAATCAGCAACACAAAGTTCGAAAGACGAAAGTTGCACGCCATAATGGTAACAGGAAATTTTTAAAAATTCTCTGACACTATAAGAAAAGTAAAGGGGTATCTCACACTTTTAAATATCGCTTAGAATTAATGTGACCGCTTATGCTGCACATGGGGATTTGGTCACGCTAAATTGTCATGGCCCACATTAAATTATTTTACCATTAGACAATTTTCGTGCTCAAATCCAATTCATGAAAGGTTTTTACGATGATTTTCTGGCAACTAGACTTGGCATAAACACAATATCTGTTTATCCACTTGGCAGTCACATTTTATAGCTTTCTGTTGTTTCTGTTTGGTTTTATTTGTACTTTTTCTAATTCTGTTTCGCTTTTGTTTTGTTTTGGCCCAGCTGCTAATCTAATTGGCCTCGATAGCGCTTGTTGGGAGAGAAGTCATTGCCCCGCCACGCATTTGTTGCTTTGTTTGCACTAATTTCATTACTTGTGGAATGTGGCGATGATTTCATGCAATTTAAAGCCACATTTTTCAGTGGCAAGGCATTTAGCATAGTACAAGTACCTGACCGGACCCCGGGATCCATAACCAGAGTCCCATAGAGTCGCTGAGCCTGAGTTCCTGACCCACTCCAGGCTTTTATATTAATTGCCTGTTGACACGGGATGGCCGAGAGGCAAGTTGGAAGCCACGAGAACGTGAGTTGGGAAGGGCTCCGGGCTGGGATCGAGCAATGGGAATGCCGTTGATAAATGAAAATTTCAAAACGTAAACCAACAAAGGGGGGCACAGAAAACAAACGAAACCAAAAGGAAAAAAACCTGGAGTGAAACACAAAACAAGCGGAAAAAGGGGCGGCAAATATAATTTCATTTGTCCGCCTTCGAAAAGGTGCTCGACCCTCTCCTTTAGTCTAATATTCTCTATAGCCCAAATGGGGTTAGGTTAAGCTTTGATTGGCCCAAACACTTCATTTATTAAAAGGTCCTTCCTCTGGTCGATACTCTTTCAAGTCAATTGCCAAGGGTTGGGGCCATTCTCTCGAGCGACATAAATTTTGTCAGCTTTGCTGAGACAATTGCATATTAGCCGAACATGACAACGTTTTCCCCCACTTTTTTTTCTTCTTTTTGTATATGAAAATTCATGGTAAAAATGTTCAAGAGACAAAAATTTTCGCCTTGAAAGAGATGCGAAGTGAAGTGAACTCCCCAGAGTAGTCGAAAAGAACAGAAACCGAAAAAGTAGCAGAAGCAGAAGCAGCAGCAGCAGCAGCAGCAACAGAAGGAAGAGAAATGTTCTCAAATAAACAACAGCGGAAATGTAGGCTATGATTTGCTTACTTGCCAGTGGCACAGGGGCGTGGGGCTGATCCCTGCCAGGGGAGTTGGCCCAATGACAAGGGCGAGACGCAGAATGGGGGCGGGGAGGGGGAGCTGGCAAAACATAAATCAAATGCATGTAAAATTTTCGTACTTTCCGCACACATATCCTGATCCTGTGCAAGTGCATTGGGCAGCCCCTGGGCAGGACAGCCCAAGGACTATGGAGCTGTGGGGCGCAATATTGGTGGCTCGATTTGGGGGGAGGGGGCAGCGTGTGGCAAAGTGTGAGCTGGTGGTGCGTTGTGTTTTGTGCACATCCGTTAACTTTGTCATTTTTGCTCATTTCCTTCCGGCATGTGCAAGAAAACTGCACTGGCAGCAGAGGAGGAGCCGGAGCCGGAGCAGGACCCGAAGCAAACGGAATGATTCCCAGCAGTGCTCCACTGAGCCGCCGTGCCACTGAGTCACTGAGCCACTGACAAGTCGTAAGCCGTAAGAAACCCAACCGAACAGCAAACACTGGGCTGGGCTGGCGAAACAAAAGCAATGCGGAAAGCGGCAATAAGTTGAGGGCATAACTTTCAGTGCCATCAAGAACACACACACTCCAGTGGCTTAGGGCGCCAGGAAAAGGGGGTCTCAGAATCCCCATTTAAAATTTATGTTCAGACACTTTACTTTACCGGGTATAAATGTGGAGATTTTTCAATCAATATTTAATGCAATCAAAATCACTAGCTTTGTATTATGAAACTATCAGCAATTATTTTGTTTGTATTCTTTTTACGGTTTATTTAATTAAAATTCCATTATTCATATATGTAGTTAATATTATTTAAAAATTAAATTAAATTAAAATTAATTTCGTTTTTTTCATGCAATTTGAATGTAGATTTCAAGCAATCCTTTAGATTCCTGTCTACGCCTCTGCCTTGAGCCCAAAAAAGGGTGAGAAGCACGAGCATTTTGCATGAAATTAGAGTCGTAAGACACAATAAGAGGCAAGCAAAAAGTCTTGGGTCTATAACTTGCTTGTTGGAATTTAATTATTTTGCAGTTGCTGTTGCCTTTTGCTGTTTCGGTGCTGCAACTTGGTCACGGGGGACTTATTTTTTGTACATTACACACCCACCCTCCCTTGGCCGGGAATCATGTGCCAAAAATAGCAAAACTTTGCTGCAATTTTCATTCGCATTTATTGTGTTGACATGCTGCCTCACTGCGTATACGTATTACGTATCCTTGATGCAGCCAAACAATTTATTTATTTAAGTTGAGTCGTGTTGAGTTGCAGAAGATGCAAGGAGGCTGAGTGAAGGCGAGAGAAAACTTTTCCCCCATCCTGACTGGAAAAATAAAAATATTTGTACACTTTCCGTTGTTTGCAGTGTCTCGCAACCGTATTAGATGGCGGAATAGAAAATAACATAAGCCCCACCACTCCGCACCACCTGCAGTGACGAAAGCATATGCATTCAAAGTCAAAGCCACATTAATTAGCATGCTTAGCTGACTTTTATCAAAAACCAATTAAATCCACGTACTTTCACACACACACTCTCGGCGGGCACAAAGTAAACTTGATAATTAAATGAGTCTGTGTGAGTGGCTTTGAGTTCAAAGTTGGCAGCCAGCTAAAACTCTCTGAACATTACTTTTTTCTCTTATTTCCCCCCTTGTTTTCCTCTGTGACACATACGCTAGAATGTATGTACTTGAAAATAAATTATAATAAAATAAACAGAAAATTAAAATATGTATGCATATGCCGGAGAAGGGGAAATAGGGTAGCATTAAATAAAAATCACAAATAACATTATTAACGTTAAATTAAACTTTGAAATTTGCGTTTTCCCCCGCCCAGGACGAAAGGAGTAACTTTTCAGAGTGAATAAAAGTACATTAAAACAGGAACCGGAAGCGACAGCAAAAGCTTGTTTATATTTACCGTAATCTGCGGCTCGCTCTCAAAACATAATCAAAGACTTCAAATAAAGCCACAGAGTTGACTGGATCCGGGTTTCCCAGGATCCTGAATCCAGAATCCTGGAATCCTGTGCAAAAGTGGTCGCAATCGAGCATCTTACCTAGAGCGAGTGTGTGTGTGTGTGTGTGTAGTGTGATTTTTACCAGATTTTTATTTCTCCCCACAACTTTCTTCTATTTGTCAAGCTGCAAGTGTATGCGTGACACGTAGTAAATTAAATGTGAAACTCTGTAGCAGAGTGTAGCTAACTGAGAGTTTAGTGTTTGTGTGCGGGTGAGTGTGAGTGAGAGCCCCATTCGACTTTGAGTGGCTACAAAGAATGCTGTTTGCCGCATAGAAATATGTAGCTTTGGCCGCATTCCCATTCTCCTGGCCCCGGCTATAAATCATCAAAGTTCAACGTTTGCCATTTTGTCTACAATGTGCAAGAGTGAGTCGAGTCGAGTCGAGTCTGTGTGTGCCATGTTCGGGTGTTTGTGCCCAAATGTGTTTGCTTTGCAATTTCCTTTTATTTATTTAAAGTTCTTTAGCAAACATGGCGCTTACTCCGGCGCAGTCTCCTCAATGTTCACATCAAGTTTTCTGCCAAAAGTTTTAACAAGTAATCTTTTAATTAAGTGCCAGAGCCATCCTCAGACATCTCCTTAGACACTCTGGCATTCGGCATCACAATCCCCGAATTATGAGCGCAACAGGAAGGGAGTCTGCTCGGAAAATGGCAAACGAAAATCTAATTTGATTAATGGTCAAATGCTAAGCTTAATTAGTGAAAGCAGCAGCAGCAGCTAAGAAAAAACGCGTGAAACCAACTGGAATCGGCATTAATGGTTGCCACACAAAATCGTAGGGAATAAGAAATTAAATAAATAGCCACAAAACAACAACTAATTGCGCCACAAAACGACAATGGGGAAGGCAGGCAGTCCGCCAGTGAAAAGGAAATGCGGTGGAAAAACGCAAAAAACAAAAAAAGGAAAGGGAAAGAAAGTGGAAAGTGGAAATATTTCGCAACTAATAAAAACATTGCGGCGTACTAAATCAACTGGAAAACTGTAAAACACATTGAAACAAAGGTGAGCGCGAAAAGTGGAAGGGAATGGCAAGGGAAACCGGAAAAACCAGGTGGAGACGGTGTAAAATAAATGAGAAAGATGGTAAATAGTTTTCCCCCAAGGGTCCAGCTAGCAGAAATAATAATGGCAACTGGCATTTGACATTAGTTTTCTTGCGAATGAACATTTATTTTGTCCTGCGGCCCTAATTAAGGAGATTGTCATGAGTATAATTGCGGCACTTAAGCAAAGCGATTCTCATAAATGCACATTCTCTGTAATATGCATACATATCCATATATGCAATGAGCTCTTCTTCGAAGCTTTAATTTCTTTTAAATTGGCTTTGGTATCTTTTTTCCCCCCTTTCCAATGTATTCTCTGGTTGGTATTCTCTGTATGCTCTTAGAGTCAATGAATTCTCGGTGTGGTAAAGTGTTCCCTTGGTAATGAGAACTCAAAGACCCTCAAGTGCTAACTGCTCAAATTATATTGTATTTACTGTAGTGACATGGAATAAGTAACAGCAAATAGGGGAATATACTGATGTTTTTGTTTTACAGTGCACATAAACAGTACACTTTTACAAAAGTTCACTCTTTAGAGTGTACTGTGAACTTTCATGTTTTTTCACTCAATTCCCTAAATGCGGATCACATTTCATGCAATGGCGAATTGGAGTGTACATTTGTCGGGAGACTCTTTCTTTTTTTATCGCCGGGTAATTGGACTCCGCTTTCAATTGCCCCGG